TAACATGTACAGGGTGTCTCAAAAAAAACGCTATGGAAATTCAACAGGCTGTCGTGCATCATAAACATGGCTAAACAATTAAATTTTTACATAAGACGAAAGAACAGTTATTTAGCTTTTCAATGATACTCTTTTTACATCGTAACGATGAGAAATGGCCACATACTCGTCAAATAAAAATTGCCGGTCGAAATCACATTCTTCCACCGTTGGGAATTTGCATGGAAAATGAACCATAGACAATTCCCAAGAGGGAATTAAAATTGAATGTTGAATTATCTAAAATGAGTTCAACTCGTTGATGTTCGTCTTTGTGAGACAATAACACAATGAGGACGTCCATAAAACATGGTTCAATTAAACCCTGAACAGAGAAGATTCGTAATCAAAACGTGTTGCGAAACAAATAGCTTGCAGGTTGCTTGCAGCAGGCTCGCCTTGCTTTTGGATTGATTAACTTTGCATAATTAACATTAATTATTTTCAATTCCCAACGGTGGAAGAATGTGATTTCGACCGGCAATTTTTATTTGACGAGTATATGGCCATTTCTCATCGTTACAATTTAAAAAAGGTATCATAGAGAAGCTAAATAACAGCTCTTTCGTCCTATGTAAAAATTGAATTGTTTAGCTAAGTTTATGATGCACGACAGCCTGTTCAATTTCCATAGCGTTTTTTTTTAGACACCCTGTATAGCTGTGATTGGAAGAATTAGAATATACATATCATAGTATACAGGGTGTATAAAAAAAAGGAGACCTTTAGAAATCAAGCATATTGTTAAAATTTGAATGCCTTTTCAATTGCATATACAGGGTGTATCAAAAAAAGCGCAACCTCGGAATTTCCCAAGAAATCGACATTGTTTTAAAGACAAAAGATTTTAGGCGCCTGGGAATTTAAAATAGCATAACTGTCAAAATTACTGCACACACGAGTGAATAAAGCAAAATTTATGCATTTATTTAACGCACAACAACAGTAATATGATCTATTAGCAATTCGATTTCAATTCCCAGGAGCCTAAAATCTTTTATGCTTAAGAATTGCAAAGTGATTTCTTAGGAAATTCCGAGGTTGCTTTTTTTTTTATACACCCTGTATGCCGAACTGTAGTGCGTGAAATATTGATGGGGTGCATATATTAGGAAAAGGAGACCTTTAGAAATTGAAATAACGTTTAAACAAAAGATCGTCTGCACCTGGGAACAATCTGCCATGCATACTGTACGTAGATCGCATGTTACGCACTCGTGGGCTTAGCAAAGTGCTCCAGGATTCAAATTATAACAATGGTTGATTCCTAAAGGTCTCCTTTTTCTAATATATGCATCCATCAATATTTCACGCACTACGGTTCAGCGTATGTGCAATTGAAAAGGCATTCAAATTTTAACAATATGCTTGATTTCTAAAGGTCTCCTTTTTAGTGTGAAGTTTCTTCGAAACTTCACAGTATTGTGATGGTGGGGAAAATTCAAACGAAACAGTCAGTCAGTCAGTCATTCAGTCATACAGTAAACTTTCCGGGGGGCGTGTACGATTTATGTTCGTAGTGATTTATTGTGCTTAGTCAGTATTTTGAAGGTTATTTAGGCAATTTCAGTTAACTTATTTACATATTCTGTTATCCTTTTACCAAGTTCACAAAAATTTCGAGCAAT